CAAACCATCGCTTGGGTCACATAGCTAGAAACTGAAATGTTGTATGCCTGCAATTTCGGAAATGGATATCTAGTATGATTGTTTTCTGAACTGTATAGCTAAACTGAAACATGCCTTCAAGGTGTTTGATATTTTTCATGGAGGCTAGTAAAGTGGAGTTTAGTTAAACGCAATTCCCTTCTCACCTGCCATGTTAATTAGTTATATAATTAACAAATTTATTGAAGTAGAACTTATGTTACCACTGTTGCATTCTAATTATTCACTAATTCGTTACAGTATACCTTATTTATACATGTGCTATTAGTTAAATAATTTGAGTATATTAGTATGTTTTTTGTTTTGTTTAGCAGTAACCCTTATTTAGACAAATGAAGTTTAGAATTTTTTTGATTACCTATTTATACAAGCTAGAACACTGATCCAAAAATAAATTAATCATCTGAGAATGAATTCTATTTACAAGTAATAAAAATCCAATAACATGCTTGTTAAAGTGTAAGTGCAAATTAACAAACCAACTTTAGTCCTTTTATTCCATAAAAAATGCTTCTGTGAATAGTATTTACAATCTGTGTAAGTTTCAAAGTTTTAGATGATATCTTTCTTGGTTTATATTTTGTTTCTTGTGTTTGTTTTTGATAGATGGCACATGTTGCAAAAGGCACAAGAAGGAAATGGACTGCCCAAGAAGATCAAACTCTTGTTAATTGTATGGTCGAATTGCATACCCATGGCACACATAATGGAAAAAAAGGAGGCTTTGAAGCAGGTTATTAAGTGAGCTAGCAAAAATGATGTCACAGAAGTTGCCTCATTCTCACTTGGAAGCTAAACCACACATTGAATCTCGTATAAGAACATTGAAACAAGTTTGGCAAGAGTATTATGACTTGTTAAATGGCCGCACTGCCTCACTAAGTGGATTTGGATGGGATCCTATATCCAAAATGATCACTGCCTCTAATGAAGTGTGGGAAGCTATTGCTGAGGTAATTATATATATAGATATAGATATATTTTAGGTCTGGTTGTTACAATATTATACTGATGCTGACTTAAAATGACCTTTTATGTCTTAAAACAAGTCTCTTTTTAGTTTGTCAGAACAATATCACAAAGAGATGAATTTATTATTTCTGCAATTTCCTGTGCTTTGAAGTTCAATGTTTGTTATGTTTTAGGTGGAATTGAAGCAAGGATAAAGTAAAATGGGTGGTGTTTAGATGGGGAGAAAATGATGCGTGAAATAGTAACCTTATTGGCATTGTGATAAGTAATTTCTTGTGTCTTCGAAGTAGATATTTCTGAAGTTTTGGGAATGTGGTTTGTACTTTGTATAGCGTAGTTTTCCTAGATATATATATATATATATATATATATATATATATATATATATATATATATATATATATATATATATATATCTGCGTTGGTATATTTTTATTAATGTGATTTTATACTTTCAGAGTAAATCTAAAGTTGGAGCTTTAAGACGAAAAAGTCTGTGGACCGCGCTACTGGAGCAACTGGGATGGAATGTGAAGACATGGTTCAAGAAAGTGAATTTGATCCAGCTTTTGAATCACAACACATGCAAGACGTAAATGATTCCTCCGTTTCTGGTGTTGCAAATAAAAAAAACATCAAAGAGACCTGCAACAAGTGACAATGACACTCCACAGAGTAGTCTTAACTCTTCTACCTCCAATAGTCGTGGCAAGAAGAAGGGTAAGAGTAGTTCAAGCATTGACAGTTTCTCAACTTATGTAGAGGCGGCTTCTATTCGACTTGAAAAGGCGGGATTGGAAATGTCAAGGGTGGATACAGATATAGCAGATAAGACATCACGTCTCCCAATTGCTTTAGGCGCTCTCAAAGGCATGACTTTACCTATGAAATTTAAGATCATGAAGAAAATGGGAAAAAACCAAAGTGAGTTGTTGTACTTCTATGGTTTGCCAGATGAGGAAAAGATGGATTGGTGCAAGTGGTATTTAGAAGATGAATCATGATTTATTGCATCGATGGATGAAACATGGCGTTTTTTATATTTATGTTCTTAGAGTGACTATCCTTATGATACACTGTTATCAATTTCTATTTTGCATTTGAACCATAGTAGCAGTTCATTACGCCTGTTACCATTTGAGCGTGTTTATTGTCACTTTATTATTTTGTTATGATTTCGAACAAGGGTATTGTTTTTTGAGTTTGACAATATTGTTATGCAAGCACTAGATGTATGTAATTTTCCCATCAAGGACTTAGCTTTATACAAGACAGAATCTGTTTGGAGGCCAACTGTGTGTATGATGACAGTTGAATAATCACCACATTTTTGCTGTGTGTTTTGTGAATAATACTGTATGGTTAATCACCACATGTGAGAAGCTTTCAGTCACAAAATAAAATTATCTAACAAAACAAGTGATCAAAGTTTTGTGCTCTTATATAAGCACAACCAGAACCCATTAAGCTGCCATTCTAAATTGTTGCAAATGGTCTAATAATATCCAGGAACAAAATCAGCCAGTTTGGTATAGCTTTATTTGATTTCCAAGAAGATAATTTGTGCTCTTGGTGTAAGACTAAATTCCATATTATCCAAGCAGCTCTTGAAATACAAACATGATTTCACAAAACAATGATCCACACTAACGGAAAAGGAAACAGAAGGGATGTTGATATTAAATTGCAAACATCATTGTTCTATTATAGCAATAATTTAGAACATTTTACAACCAAAAATATTAAAAATACTTTTGAATTACAATGAAAAGCAAGCATTCATAGTAAGTTCCAGTCACATTACATTTTATGAAAACAAACAGAGAGACGAAATTATATTTATGATTGCCAAGCGGTGTACATTTCTGTTGCTAAATCTTCTCGAAATGCAGTCCATGCTTCAGTAGGGCGTAAATCAACTCCTCCCCAGTGGACTTCTGCATCTTCTTCTTCATCAACACCTTCCTGTTCTTCTATATCATCGTCCTCCATTGGATCAATATCATGTTCACGTCGAATGAAGTTATGTAATAGGGCACATGCCACTATTATCTTACATGTCACACATATAGAATACCACGAGCCACTCCGTAAAATGGCCCATCGATTTTTAAGTAATCCAAATCCACGTTCGATCACATTCCTAGCTTGTGAATGCTTCATATTAAAATACTCATGCGCGTTATGCGGTTGACAATTGTTTTGTCATTCAGACAAATGATACCTTTGTCCTCTATATGGCGCAAGAAACCCTTCACAGTTAGCATATCCCCCATCAACCAAGTAGTAACATCCTGTATAACAATGAAGATAAATTTAATACATTTATGTTAGTACTTTTTATTAATAATCAGCACTACATTTGGCCCCAATTTCTTTTTTTTTACATTATTAATGTTTATGATCCTCACAATTCAGTTTTCCTTCTCTCCAGGGGGCATTTGGCCCCAATTTCTTGGTTTTTTACATTATTTTAAAAAAGTATGAATGTTTACTGTATTATATATTATAATATACATACAATTATACCTTGTGGAACTCGAAACCTTCTTGTGAGGGCATCTCGCAAAACTCTACCATCTGCGGCTGATCCCTCCCACCCAGGAAACACATAGATGAATTGCATTTGTGGATTGCACACACCAAGTACATTTGTAGCAATCATTCCTTTTCGAGAACGAAAACGATTATGATCACTTGGTGATACATGCACATCAATATAAGTGCCATCTAGTGCACCCACACAATTCTGTAACATTATAGTGGTAAGTATTAAAACCATATATCAATGACTAGTTACATATTATAAATTCAATATAATAACTAAGATAAGAACCTGAAATATACTCCATCGGTCATCATTGCATTCCATTGTAATTGGTTGAGGCTTAGCATACAAAACAAGATGAAGTTGTAGTATAGCATGTAATACACTAGCAAAGCATCTACTTATCGTTCTCCCCGATCTTTGAAATTCAGTAATTAATGTTCTATTTTTGTGATGATGCGATAATACAAGTAGGGAAATAGCTACTTGTTCTTCTACTATCATATGTCTCGTGGGTCTCAACCCACCCCTTACAACCAACATATCACACAATTTGAAAAATGCAGCACGACTCATTCGCAATTGCGAAATGCAATTTGCTTCGGGTCCATGTACTAATCTTTGAAAATACCCCTGCCTCTTAGAATGATTGTCTATTATGTAACGAATACTTTGTGTTCGCTTACGCCTTGTGAATAATACAACAAACATCCAAAATATGGTATTCATAAGACATGATTGAGCATTGAACCACCAATTTTGTGACTTCCTCTTTAAGATATGCTTTGGATTGGATGCATTACGCCACATTACAGAATCAGGTTGTGATGTTCCACTTCCCTGAGTTCCTTCCATTCTAATACATAGAGCAATATTACATGTGGTTACAATTTATTACTAATATTTGATACTAATCAATAGTATGCTATACATAAATGAATCTTGAAAATTATTATTTTGTTGTTCTGGTTTAATTAACTCTAACTAAAAATTACCAATAATCAACGAGCCACACACATACATATCAAAGCTGCCATTTAAGATAGCTTACGTGTGCAGCAGTTTATTGGATTTAAAAAGAAGAGTATGGGCTGTTGGTTATATCGGAATTTTTTTACAGAGTATTATAAGGAGTATTATTATCTATAGAACCAGCTTGTTCAATCTTATCTATAACCACTTGCTAATTATAAATTATATACGTAATAGCATATAGTATATATATAAACTGGAAATGGAGAAGATAGATGCAGCGGAGTAAGAAGAAAATATGCCTGATCGGTCAATCTGGAGAGAAAAAATGGAAGAAGAAAGCATATGTCTTAAAACGAAGTAAACATATCCTAAATAATGAGAAGGGATTTGACAAAAGTAAACATATCTGCTACTAAGAAATGAAGTAAACATATCCTAAATAATGAGAAGGGATTTGACAAAAGTAAACTTAAAACGAATAATTAAAAACTAAAAAATGTAAATCACTTTAATTTTACAAACTAGATAGATTTTTTATTCAATAGGGCAAAATAACATTAATATATCATAAAAATTCTGCTACTACAATAGTTGCCTAGTTGGATAACTAGTATTCTAAATTACTAAGACACTGCGTCACTCCTACCTCTAGTAAAACACTAAACCCTGAATACTGAGAGTAAGGATAGGGTAACATTTTACATTTTTACATTTTTTGTGCACATAGCTTTTCATGCACTACAAATGGTTACTCTTGGTGCATGCACAAATGATGAAGCTGCCAAGAGTTGATGAGTATAAAGAGGTCTATTCTAAATTAGAAGAGATGCAGCATAAATCACTGGACTTTATCCTCCTGCTTCTGCTGCAAGTACCTGCACATGGGGAAAACAAAACACAATATACCATATTAGACACACTACATCATAAAAGACTATAGGTTCAACTTAGTATATTCGTAGGACTCAAGTTCTTATGTTTCAAATCTACCCATATGCATTGCAACTTAATCGACCCAACAACACAAAATGACATACAAGACGGCACACAGCAATGTACTAATATATGTTAAAAATATACTACTTTTTTTTTACTCCAGGGGGTCTGGGGAAGGGGGCCGGGAGGCCTGGAGTAATCAGGACTGAAACTCACTCCATTGAGTTTCAAACCCTTGTGTGTCTAGCGAGTTTCGAACTCGAGATCTCCCACTATACACGGTAACCTCACAACTAGCTGGGCTGGAATGTTTGGTAAACAAAAAATATTTCCCTAGCACGTTTTAAGCTTCTTTTTCTTCTTCAGTTATTACATTATACCTATATATTAGAGGATCCCTCATAATGTTTTCTGGTTCCACGTCTGCGTAAAACCTTTAGAGTATGTTTGGGAGTTTGCAGGTGAGGTAAGAGGAAGGCTTTGAGGGGGAGTAAAGAGAAAGGGAGATGGGAAGGGATTCCTTCCTCTTGTTTGAGAGCTACAAATTTGAAAAGCGGAGGGGGGGGGGGGGGGGGGGTATTTGAAGAAATGTAATTAATAATATCTTATTGTAGATTAATGAGCTAAGATTTATGTAAAAATATACTACTAGAGATATTTTTACTTTGGACAGTAATTCCACCCAGACCAGACTAGAGATGTCAAAAAACCCGGCCTGCAATGACCCGCCCTGGCCCGAGACATTTGGGGCGCCCCGCCTATACAATGAGACAGGTCCGGGTATTAGTATTGACCCGTGCCGCCCTGCCTCGACCCACTCAATATATAAGTATATATACTTTTTTTTTAAATTATACTACAAATATATACTTCAACATACATATGTGTATACAATAAATCATAAATTCTTTGATCTTATAATATATCAATACACACACACATATATATATAAGATTGAGATGAACGACGGATTATCAATGTCTTCTTTATATATAGCATTTTAATACATATATTCAAGTATTAATATAATTAAATAGATTAACTATTGAAGTCTAAGTGATTTTTCCTTAACTTTTGAAATTTCTAGCGTATCGTGAATTTGATTTAATATATTATTTTTTAATAATTAGTTAAAGATAAACTTTTTGTAGATTCAATTGGTAACAACTTCTCACAAATAAAAATACATACTAGCTAATTAGGTTACGGCGGGGGCCGCGGGTCATGGGTCAACAAGTTTGGACCCGTGCAGGTCACGGGGCGGGGCGGACCCGCCCCGTCAAGTTACGGGGTGGGTCTGGATCTTGAAGTACCCGCCCCGACCCATTGCCATGCCTAGACAAGACCGGTTCAGACCAGACTTGGATAGTTATAAAAATATAAAGAAACCAGACCAAACCCGACCAATTTAGACCAGACCAGCAATATACAGTCCAAGCAATTTACGTAGTACTCCCTCCATCCCTAAAAGTATTATCAAGTTTGACCGGCACGTAGAATAATAAAGTAAAAACTGTGTGGTAGAGATTTGTGAAGAGGAGAGAAATAATAGGAATCACAAATTGATTGACTAAAAGGGAAAGTGACAAAGTTTTTGGGACAATCAAAAAAGGAAAGTTGGCAAAGTTATAAGGGACGAAGGGAGTATATTTTAGTTTTGTACAACAACAACATTACCCCAATGCCGCAAAGGCTCCCACCAATGGTGGGGTAAGGGAGGGTCAGATGTACGCAACCTTATACATGTACTAAAGCAGAGAGAGACTGTTTCCGGATGACCTGTGATGAAAACCGCGTAAGAAATTGCATGAACTAACTGCTGCTTGATAATAAAGAAGCGCAAACAGTATATTTTAGTTTTTAAAAAAAAAATGCCTAGGAGGAAACATTTTTTCTTCCTCGGTTATTATCTTATACCTATATATTAGATGACCCCTTGGTTAATATCTTAAACCTATAAGCAGGTTTTATGCATTGCTTTGGATTCTACTTATACTGTAAACTTCCTAGGTCATTTAGTGTTCTGTCCCATAGTAACTTGTGTTCCCTGTGTATGCAAATGCATCCCCAAAATGTAATCTGAAAGATTCAAATAGTCTTTATTTGGAAATGGAAATATATCATATATTATTGATTCATTGCCTTGATTACAAAAAATTCAAGAATAGGTTCTTTCATTCAACATCCTCCCTTCCAATTGTAAAAACTACCAACAAAAACATACAGCACTAAAAAATAAAAACAAAGATAGGAATAGTTGGTATCCACACCTCATGTTTACAACAATATTTTACTTTGCACCCTAGATCACCCCAGTATAGGGCGCAAAGTTAAATACTATTGAGGTAAGCATGAAGTGAAAATGCCAAATTCCGTTACACTTTACACCCCATGTTTTACCTTCATAAAACATGAGGTGCAAAGTCAAATACTACGGTGAAAATGAATGTGAATATTACTTTTCCGAAAAAGAAAGATGTTCCTTGGAAAACAAATGTTTGCATATATAATATCAAACTACGGCAAAGTTGGTGTAGCAAATAACTGTGTAAAAGGAGTAAATATGTGGAGCATGCCAACATGCTTAATGTGGAGCAAGTTGGCATGATAATTGGCCAGGATTCACCCCTTTATAAAGATTTAGAGAATTCCGACTTTTATCACGCCAACGAGCTTTATAGTGAGCATGCTGGTGACTTGGCATGCTGCATTGTTCCATATATATTTCGGAGTGAAAAGTTCATACTTCATTTTCTATCATACTCTGTGTTTTCCCTTTTATTTTCAAACTTATTTTTTACTACAATTTCTATACAGCGGAAGGTTTTTTAAAAGAAAAAAACTCTCCCCCCTGCCTGTCACTTTATATTTACTAATTTATTAATGTACTTATTTACTTTGGGTTTCAAAATGCGTTAGCTACAGAGTAAGTAGTAGGTGGTTTAAATACAAAACCTATTGGAAAACTTTTAGGCTTTGCCTACAAATGCAATGACCTCAACATCTTTGACAAAATTGGATTTACACCAAAAGGCTTGGCTTATAGCAAGGCAAGGGTCCGCTTTGAACTCGGGAAATACTTGGAAAAAATTAGGGAGAGAAATAGAGAAGAAAGATGCAAGGGAACAAAATTGAGAGTGAGAAAACAAAGAATAGCTCAAAGCCTCAATCTAAATTAAACTTTTTTAGGTGTTTGTTCAAAATCATTATTTTATTTATTTCTATTATATAATGGCTAAAATTTCAGTATACACTCCCTCTGTTCTTAATTAAATGTTCTACTAGGTATTTTGTGGTTTTTAAGAGAAAAGTATAGAGAGTGTAGGGTAAACAAAAAAGTAGGAAAAAGAATATAATAAGAAAAGGAAAGTAATAGAAAAGTATGAAAGAAAAAGTAGTTTGTAAAAAGTACAAAAGGTAAGGATATAAAGGTATTTTGATAGGAAAAATTTACTAAGAATGAAAAGGTGCACAAATAATAAAAAACTTCTCAAAAAGAAATACTACCTCCGTCCCATTCAAAGGTTCCAAACCACTATTCACATGATAAACTTAAGAGCCCTTTTGGTAACCCAAAAATCGGCTGAATTGGCTGATTCTGCTGAAATTTATGAAATTCTGGCTAAAGTTGTTGTATTGGCTGATTCGTAAAAAAATTATATTTAAAATATTTGTTATTAATAAATTAAATCAAAAGTTATATGAAAACATAGCTAAAATGATCATCTACGGTAACTTCAGCCAATAGAACCAGAAAAGTAACTCCAACTTTACTTTTTCTGTTTATTACAAAATTTAGCGCGTGAAATCAAAAGTGACGTTTTTGGTGAAAAAGCTGGCTGATAAGCCGGAAAAGGGGATCACCAAACGGGCTCTAAATCATTCTTAATCTTTTGCTTTATATATAAATTTTTTGTCAAATTTAAATTTTATTGATCAGGCTTTGTAAAACTTTTAATGTAGTTTATGAATATATAAATTTTATTTACTTAAAATAATTAGAGTGTGAAAAGGGATCATGTTTCTTTATCTTTAATCAAGCATCGTAAACCGAATCGGGAACCTCTCTATGGGACGGAGGGAGTATGAGACAGTTAAATAAGAACAGGGAGAGTATGAAATGCTCTGTACTAAATATAGGTAATCAGGTAATCATATTATATTTTTCATAACATTGTCAAAGGTAATGCCAGATAATAATAAATTAACTTTTCTTACTATTCATTTTCCTTTCTCTAGGATTTTCCACGACCCAAAGATAGCCTCAATTGATGGAGTAAAGGAATCTACATCTACGATCACTTACCCCCGACTCTTTGCCCAACGAGATAGTTGATACAGCTGGACACACTCATTTGAAACATGGCATGCCAAAAGTAGATGGTTGCGAGGCTGAACCATCCATGCAAACCTCATGGACAATGCAGAATATATACACATTGCTGCAACACCAATAAAAGGGGAACATTAGTTTCTATATCAGGAGCTACACTCACTCTTCCTTTAAGGCGCGTGGGATGCAGTTTACCTGATGACATCTCTCCAGATATCATTTCAGGGGGCTTCTGTGTGTCCAATAAAGCCTGAAAGGTCCAATAACACAAATCAAGCAAAACAGAGTGAAATAATCAAACTTTTTTGCTTGCTTAATATCACTTATGGAGAAACGCACCGCTGCAACAAATCCCCAGTTCGCAATAGGACCCCAGAAATGAGTAGTTTTAGGGCCAATTGGACTGTTCAAGAATGCTCTAAATGAATTCATCAGATCAACTGCTCAATAGTACACAGCTGTTAAAATTTAAAGCAGGTAATGATACAAGGAAAAAGAAACAATTCTCTGTGAAAACATTAGCACAACAAAGCAAGAAAAAATAAAACATACTATGGTAACATATAGCTAAAAGTATGGCTATTAGAAAAATATACATCTACAGAAAAGTACTGTCATCAATAGTTGAAGCTCTAACTAACGCTTGGTTCAAAGGAGAGTACGAGATTTTCTGGATATGCACAATGCAGCACTAACATCAACACAGAATTGAAAATGTCATCAAATATATGTTAAGCACAATGAATACAGTTTTGGAAAGAGTTTCCTTTATCATAGATCAGCTTTGGCAATTGCTCATAATCCTATGCTTCATGAGCTTGTGAAGCATATAGAGATCGATTGTTATAGACTCATATCATCCCAGGAATAATTCAGAGAAGCATTGCTAAAATGCTTCGTGTTTCTACTATCAACCAGTTGGCTATTGTATTCACTAAGAGCCCCTTTGGTATTTTCCTTGGGTTTAATTTCTGGGGAAAGTAATTCCTTGGAAAATTTTATCAGGTAAAATTTTCTTGGGAAAATATTTTAATGTGCAACTCTAAATATGTATCAAGGAAATATTTGAATAAATATATCAAAAGGGAGAACTGTCAAATAAGTCCTCATAGTATAGTCAACTCGGCAATTATGCCCTCGTACAAAGAAAACACTCAATGAGTACAGGAATTGTAAAAATACAACCAATTCTTCTTTTTTGAAGGTTAACATCCGGTTATCAGGTAATCTTATCCTATGTGACTAATATTTTCCCCATTTACATGCTGAGGTGCCATTTAATGACATATATCTCAGCATCATCATCATCATATTTTTTGAGTCAACTAAAAATTATATTCCAATGTTTCTTCCTCTTCTTTCTTTTTCGACTTCTATTCCTAAACTTGAATTCTCTATTTCTCCTCACCCCATCATCTTGTTTTCTCTCTTTCTTTAATTCATTTGCCCCTCTTGTTTCTTTTGCTTTTTTGATTCACAACTCAATTGATTGGAGTTGAAGCTGATTCAAACGACTGGTTTAATTTTTTTGGAATTAATCGATAATTTGAACCCAAAAATGATCTTGAAACTAAAAAATTCTGATATTCCATTAGATTTTATATCAGTCGTTGATTTAGCGGATGCACGGAGCCTGTGCTTGTGCGATTTGTGTGGGTGTATATGAACTACCCCAAGAGAAGTTAGTGAACTCACTACATCGATTCTTGTCACAGAAACTCCCCTTTATTTCCTTCTTTTCTTGCTTCAGCATCTTGAAATCAATTTCCAGTTTTACATCATTCTTCCCGTTACTCCCCAAGTACGGCAGATTTAGATGTTCAAAAAATGGATCATCTTCATTAGTTTACCTGGAAACCTAGAGATGACATGCTAAAATGGCAATATGAGTGTTTCTCAATAGTATGTGTACTCGTTTGCATATTTTTTCAGGACAGAGGTTTAATTGCCATTTCGGAAATACTAAAGAGATTACTTGAATACTTGATAGCTTTCCCCAAGTCAAATAAACTAAACAACTTCTATAGGTTGATAAACGAATATACACAATTAATCTATCTATTACGTAGTAATATGTAAAACAAAATAAATGCCATACAGTATTCCTACCGAAAGAGCTCCACGAGAATAAATACATCTTATCATAGAGAAAAAACATCCACATACAAAATGAAGAATAATGTAAAGCATAAAGTCTCATTCTGTGTGATATCAAGTAGCTACTTCTCGTGTCATGTGCTAAGATACAATATCACATCGCGATAAATGCAAAGGCACAAACACACAATAAACTTCCCTATAAATAGTAGCAAAGTTCTGCTAAATGAGCACCCACACAAGAACCCTTAGGAATTTAAAAGTATTACCAAACAGCACAAAAACACAAAATATAGATAGGGTAATTATATACTATATATATATATATATATATGTAATGCCACCCCTAAACTTCTTCTTGCTTACTTCTCCTGTCTGTCAACATGATGCAAATCGTCAACCCTCCGTTCAGCGTGTATGAAGATGTTAATTCTTTTTAAGCTAAAGCCAAACGAAGAACTTTAAAACTAAAAAACGACGTCTTAACGACCCAGATGAGAAGATAATCTATTCTCACCCCAAATGCTGAAATTCAAACTTTGAACTCTCAAGGACTCAAACAGGCGACATGGACCGAAGGGCGTAACTGCATGACGGGGTGAGCAAATCTATATTAGCTTATTTGGGACGTACTCACTTAGGGTGAGCGTTTTGGCGAGGGGTGAAGCCGGCGGCGTGCGGCGAGGTTGATTTGAACAAGCGGCCGCAAGTTGGCAACAAGTCGAAGAGCAGAGGAAGATGCCAAGGTCCAATCGGGATTTTTTCAGATAAGATGATTTCTGATTGAAAATGTTTACAGACGAAAATACCTCTTTTTTTAAGAGATGAGCGGATACAGAGATATTTTGTAGGGAAATTTACTATTAACGGCTTGAATTTATGTCATAATTATTAATGTAATCTTGCATTTTAAAAAATCAATTAATTACCCTATGAGTTTGGATCATTCTTGTTCTTTGCCCCCTCACGTTAATATATGTTAAATTTAAATTTAATATAATTCTTAAGTTCAATGAAAGATGTCTATAAACTTAAATTTTAATGTAAAATACAAATTAGTACTCCCTCCGTCCCGAATTGAATTGCAAACTTTGACCGGCACAAGGATTAAGGAATGACAATAAATGATGATTGTTTTTTACACTTTTGCCCATCTTTCTAAAAGTAGATGTCTTTAAGTTAAAGGGAAAAAAGTAAAAGTAATGGTAAATTTGTCACTTTATTCTTATTTACATACCTAAAATGGAAAGTGGAAAACCATTTTGAGACAACCAAAATAGAAAATTTTGCAAATCAAATTGGGACGGAGGGAGTATCATAATTATAAATTATTGTTGTTGATCGTAGTTAATAAAAATTTTAAATAAATTAAAATCTATGATATTTTAGGTCTTAGATTGATAGCTTTCAATTATTCGGATCATGTAATAATTGGAATAATCATCACACATTTTATCTTTTAGATCCTTTATTGATACTAAACATATATTTTAGGTCATGGAATGATAAAAAAAATCTTAGTATTTCTTCTTTGCTACACACAAAAGAAATGTCGTTGCGATTAATTCAAACGAATGAGTTACAAATAAGACTTGTATATTAATAATGAAAAAGTGGCTACAATTTTTGATAACACATTTTATAAACAATTCTTTTCATGTATCCCATGAATATGACTCGTGAGTCTTCCCCTTAACCACTCTCATTAATTGTTACTCCACGATCGAGTAGTTAAGTAGAAAACAAATGATCATCAACAATGACTTATAATTATGATGATAAATTGTTTTATATTTTAAAAATTAATTTTAAATACAACCTTCATTGAATTTAAGAGGTATATTAAATTTAATTTAACAAATATTAACGTGAGGGGGTATATAGTGAGAATGATCAAAACTTAGGGGGTAACTAATTGATTTTTGAAAATGCAAGGTTGCATTAATAATTATGATATGATCTCAGGGGTAATAATAATTTTCCCTTTTTTGTAACATAATTAATTTACATGGAATTCCAATCAGGTAAAAGGTTTACTCTGTTTAACTTGATTATTTAATGCAAATTTTAGGGCATTTTTTTAAACATTTTGCACTGTAAAGCATTTTACATGGAGAGGTGGTAAATTTTTTTGCATAATTGCATGCAAAATTAAAAATAAATTATACATCTATTCAAACAATGTCATCTATTTTATTTACATGTAAATTGATTACATCCCTCAGCTTTGTATACAATCATTTCACGTCTAGGGATGCAAGCAAACCAAAATGAGCCCGAACATGTGTATACTTGAGTTTGAGTTTGATAAGAATTTACGATCTCAAGTTCGACCTCGGAGTTGGATGAATTAAATAATTCGAGCTCGAACTCGAGCCGAGATCAACTCAAGCTCAACTCGAGCTCGGTTCGAGCTCGATTCAAGTAAAAACAAAGCTTCTATTTTCCAAAGTTATTAATATTACATCTACACATACAAAAATAATTATAATATAATGGTTGCATCTAATCGTTCTCATACTTTAGTTCCTTTCTCGTTTACTGACATTTGCATCAACAATCAATGAATAAATACAAATTATAATTATTATGTTGAAATATAATGAATTAGTCATCTCCTAACTATTCATGATTAATAAGTCATTATTATCATTATCAAGATAATCTAGAAATCACAATTATGATTTCTAGATAATGATTACGTGAATAATCTGACAAAAACTTAATGCGTTCAGGAATTTCAGGGCTATTTTTCGGATTAAGGAATTTAGTAGGACACAAATTAGGAACTATCATCTAAACCTATGCAAAGAGTAGACATGATGTACAACTAAGCTAAACCGCCGCGGCATATTGGTGTTTTGACGTATACTTGAAGTACGCAAAGGATTAATGCTAATTTTGCAATAGCCTCCAAGTTCAATTAATTAAGATCAATTTTCCTTGTCATGTTGGCACGAGAACGTCATTTCTTTCAAAAAATCCCCAAGTCTCATCTTATTGTGTATAACACTTACTTTCGACTGGGTCTCCAATTCTCTTTTTCACAAGGTAAGAGGTCTAGTTCATTTAATTAATTTTTTCAATTTTCATATTTTCACTAGACATTACCTCATTCTAACACTACAAAAAAACCGCTTGTAGTCACGGACCGTAGTCACGGATTTGGTCCGTGACTAGTTAGTCACGGATCTAATCACGGTTCAGTCATGGATCGTTTTAAAAAAAAATTGTCACGGATTTGTCCGTGACTACGTCCGTGACTATGGTTAGTCACGGATGTAGTCCGTGACTAACGTGTTCCGGCCAACCCAATTTCGCCTCCGGCGGGGTTTATTTTAAATTTTAAATTAGTCACGGACGGTTCCGTGACTAGTTCCGTGACAAGTGCAAAATTAATTTTTACAACGTTCCAAATTTAAAGTGCACCGACAAATCGTACAAAAAAATGTAGTCACGGGCACATCCGTGACTACAAGTTTTATATATGCAGTCTCCGCTTCATTCAACAAAATCACACCATCTACTCGAGATAGAATTCCAGATAGAATTGAAGGATGTAATCTACCCATCTCATTTCATTTTTCCTGTTTATGCAGATAAGGTATGTAATTTGAATTACGTATTTTTTGTATGAATTAGTTGGTTCATTTTAAGTGTAATAAATTATAGAGATTATTAATTATAATAAGCTAAGTAACGAATTATATATATGTCAATTTCATTTAATTTATTGAAAAATAAGTTACTTAAACATAGGTTTAATCGTAGTGACGCATTAAGTTAAATTAATTAATTAGCTACATTAGTTAATTAAACTTTTGTTAATATTATTAGTTAAATTTATCATAATGGAGTCCGACGTGCGGGCATGTAATAATACATCTTTTAAGTTTAACATTTCATATTAGTTTTATAATTCAGTCTGTAATAACATTGTTTATGTTTAACATTGTATGGATTTTTTTTCATTTAATGTTCTAATTGCTTTAAAGTAAAATTAAAACAATTTTCAATTTTTTTAAAATGAATTTTAAAAAAAAAACCAAAAAATAAAGTCACGGACTAAATCCGTGACTATTTTTTGGTCCGGAACTCTTTTTCAAATTCAATTTTTTTAAAAAAAAAACATAGTCACGGATACATGTCCGTGACTAAAACAAATTTTGAAAATCTAAACCGCGGACTTTTAAAAATTCAAAAATTTCAAAACGTAGTCACGGATTAGTCCGTGACTAAAATGGCCAAATTTTAAAAACAAAAAAATCTTAGTCACGGAATCCGTCCGTGACTAAAATAAAAAAAATTAAATTAAAGGTAGTCACGGACCAGGTCCGTGACTACCGTGCCGGAGTAGCAAATCCCGGTCAAGAATTAGTCACGGACCTTGTCCGTGACTAATCCGTGACTACACTTAGTCATGGCCGAATTTCAGTGACTACATTGTAGTCACGCGGAATTAGTCACGGACTTAGTCACGGACAAAATCCGTGACTAACTATGTTAGTCACGGATTTTTTACACTGCGGTCCGTGACTAAGTCCGTGACTACAGGCGATTTTTTTGTAGTGTAATCTCGGCCTCACCAAGGAAAATTAGCAATTAAAGTTCAATTAATCAAGGTGAATCCATGTCTACAACGCAATCCTCGAAAATATCAAATTCCTAAAAAGTGACTGCTCTTTACTTCACTTGGGGCATAACAACAGTGCCAAAATTGGCTCCTACCAAAATTCCCTAAACTTAACAAATTAGTCCCCTAGTTTCCTAAACATCAAAACCTTGTCAGAATTATTCACGGTAGGGGTGTAAATGAGCCAAGCCGTTCGCGAGCCGCTCGTGAACCGCTTGGTCAAAGCTCGACTCGAGTTCGGTCAAACTTAAGCTCGACTCGAGTTCGGCTCGGCTCGAGTACTTAACGAGCTCAATTCAAGCCTAGTTATTTTAGGCTCGTGGCTCGCGAGCCGGTTCGGGAGCCATTATGTGTGTATATATACAATATTTATTCTATTTTAAGATATAATTACAAGGGTTATATCAACATTTATTCTCTTTTAGGATTTATTGTATTTGAAATATTTGTTCTAATGACCCTAAAATCTTTTAGAAATAAGGTTCGAATGTTGTTGTTGTGAAATATTCATTCTAATAATAATAATAATAATAATAATAATAATAATAGTAATAATAATAATAAAAACATCAGCAATAATAGTAGCAATAATTGTAACTATATAATAAAAAACAACAATGATAACAACAAAAATGATAATTATAATTATAGTATTAGCAACAATAATAACAATAATAAGTAATAATAGGATTAAAGGTAGCAGCCCACCCAAATTCAAATCCCTTATGTAGAAAATTTACTCCGTACATTTGAGTTTTGCTCCTTCGATTTTACTTCCATCCATTTGTCCCACATCGGTGGGAGTGAAGAAATAAGCCTTGGAATGCCTCAATAAATACGCACATCTCCCACTCCGGAGATAGGTTGCAAGTAACCATTCTATTATACTGTAGCCATTATATTAAGTGTTAATATAAAATTCTGGCTAAGAAGTAGGGTTACCAGATGATGATGGATCCATGGCTAGTTTTTGTTCTCGTTGAGTCTTGTGGTTTTGTCTAGCGAGCCTTTCAATCTCAAGATTAAGAGGGATTAATGGTTCTCCCCTCTTAGAGCGTGTATGCATAAACAAATCTGACCTGCAAGGTTAGTAGACAAAAATCCAACGAAAAACTAAAAAAAAAAAACAGATCGTTGAGCCTAATTAACCCTTAAGACCGACACTGTCCCCGACGAGGGCGCAAAAAACTGATGTTAGTTTTCTCGCACTTAAAATAGATTGGAATATAGTGGTG